GGGGAGGGAGGGGAAAATGAGGACCTAATGTCGGGGGTTTAAGTGGAGAGAAAATGTTTTGAGAAACGATGTACAAATGCCCTTTACACAATTGATGTGTGTATGGATTGGGATAACAGTTGTATGAGCCCCCAATAAAATGTTAAAATAACTAACTAACTAACTAACTAAATAAATAAATAAAAAGGAGTCTGCTCATGTAAATTGTAAACTGCAGATTAGAGTTTTCATTTGATTTGCTATAATCAGTGATTATATAGCTTGCCTTTGTTTTCCTGTTGTAATTCTCTGATTTGTCTGTTTTCTTGCTGGATTCCCATAACTAATGTGGATCGTGGCCGATGTCTTGCGACTTCATTAAGTTCTTGAATTTCTTCCTGGTACTAATAAAAAGATTACAAAAACATTTTGGGGGGGAAAATATTTACAAATTATGTATCTTGAATAGGTCTAGTATCAAGATTATATAAAGAACTCATAGTTTAACAATAAAAAAACCAAACAACCCAATTAGAAGATGGGAAAATGATATGAACAGACATTTGTTCAAAGATACACAAATGGCCAGAAAGTACATGAGGATACTCATCCGCATCAGGTATTAGGAAAATGTAGATCAATGCAACAAGATTTTTATGGACAACCACTAAGAGGGCTATCATTAAAAATAAAAACAGTACCAAGTGTGGCAAGGTTAAAGAGAAACTGGAATCCTATACTCTCGTGGTGGGAATGGTTGTAGCTGCTTTGGCAAAGAGTTTGAAAGTGCCTCAAAAATTTCAATTCAAGAGCTACCATATAATCTGCAATTCTATTCCTAGGCATAAACCAAAGAGAACTAAAAACCTGTTCTCAAAAAAACTCTGTACATGAATGTTCACAGAAATATTAATCATAAATATCAAAAGGTGGAAAAACTCAAATGTCCATCAACTAATCAATGGATAAACAAAATGTGTATCCATACAATGGGATGTTCTTCAGCCATTAGAAATAGAGAATACTAACATATGATACAGCTTGAATTAGCTTTAAAAACATTATGCTATGTGTAAAAAGCCAGACAATTCTATATAGAAAGATCAGTGGTTGCCAAGGATCATGGGTAGGCAGAATAAAGAGTGACTGAAAATAGGAACAGGAGGGGGAGAGATGAAAACATTCTAGAACAAGGCAGTGATTATGGCTGTACAATCTTGTGCATATAGTAAATAAAAAATTGCATATAAGGGTGAATATTATAGTATGTGGATTATATATCGATAAGTTAGAACATTTGCAACAGAAGGGCAAATTTATTTAGTGTTATAGTTCTCTCTTTAAAACAAAATAGAAATATAAGTTTAAAATTATATTTATGTTCAAAAGTCCATTAGTAATGCATCCATTACAACATGGCTGGTTGTTACTTCACACACCAAACTCAATTTCCAATAGATGCATTAAAAGCAGTATGTGGGGGAGGTGGGGGTTTAGGAAAAAAGAAGAGATGATACCAAAGGCTCAAAAGAAAGTAAATGTCTAGGAAAGAATGATGGCAACATATGTACAAATATGCTTGATAGAACTGATGTTGTTCCTTGGAGTTTCCAAGGCTGTAAATCTATGGGAGAAAATTGCCTCATTTTTCTCCCACAAAGTAGCTGGTTGGATTGAACCATTAACCTTTTAGTTAGCAACCCAATGCTTAATCCACTACACCAGTCCTAACAAATTCATTTATTTTCTAAACTCAAATGCCTATCTATTAAGAAAATAAGTAGTCAATTTTACAGATTAAATATCCCCCCCACACACACACACATGCAGACAAGGGAGCTTCAAAAAGCTGGTGGAAAAATTCCATTATCTTTCACCTTTTTTTGAAGTTCCTTCATGTATCATCTGAACATAAGAAAACCATGTCCTAAAGTATAATTGTAATATGCAAATAAGCCACTTTTACATTTCAGAGAAACTGAAAAGATAACTAGACAATAATTAAGCAGAAGTTCATGATTCAAGAAATATGTATCAGTATCACTGACTGCTATTATTAAATAAACAAGAAAACCAAACCTGTTTCATTGCTTCTACTCGCTTGTTGAGAGCTGTAGTTTGCTCAATAAGAGATTCTGCTGCATCGTCATGATCTCTCAGTCTTTCAACAAGAGCTTTAGCATCAGCAAGTGCCTTCTCAATTGTGCAACTCATTTCTGAAGGGCTACCTATGATTAAAATTAAAGTCAAGACTCAAGTGAAATTAACATGCCATAATACATTAGTTTCATATTAACATAGGCAATATTAGAAGCTTTTCATTTATGGTTAAACAAAGACTTAGAATTGCAAACAAAATAAAGATGAAAAAAGTAGACTTACAACGAGGTTTTAAACAGTGCTCTGGGGTAAACTATAGAGCCGAAGCAAAGAGAATCTGTTTTTATAAATGGGTTCTAATTTGAAATAGGGGATTTAATCAGAAAAGAGTAAGATGTAAAATTGCCCAGTTAGAAAATAGTTAGTAGGTGCTTAGGTATCTCTAGAGACCTTTAAGAAGGTTAGCAAGCTGGAAATGAATACAATTTCTAGCTGTGTAGATAAAAAAACCAAAAGGACCTCTATTTTAAGATCTGGGAGCAGAATCTCAGAATACAGAATACAGAGAAGAGTATTTGTAAATATTGCCACCAATGTCTCATACTGACTAAAACACGGGACAACAATCCAAACTCTGTCCAAAGATACTGCTGCAAAGGAGACATTCCAAAAAACCAAATTCTCTGCCATTTGGTCAAAGCTGACGTATAGTGATCTACTGTGAGTTCCCAAGCCTGTAACTGCTTACAGGACTAGAAAGCCCGTCTTTCTCAGAATTGCTGGTGGTGTTGAAAGGCTGACCATGGGAATCGCAGACCAACAAACACGTAGCCACACCACTACCATGGCTCCACAGGAGACATTAGTGCCCAACGGAGCCCTGACCTACCTCTACACTTTCACGGGACAGCACAGCTTTCTTGTTTATATCCCACAACGAAGAACAGGCACTTCAGAGTGAAAGTTTACAGTTGTTTTTAAAGCAGAAACAAGTACAAGGGCTTGTAATTAGTAAAAAAGAATTTAGAAATAGAAAAAAAGTTAGTTGCAAAGTAAAAAGTACTTTGTTGTGAAAGAATAAAGGACCAATTTGAGAGTTTAGTGCAAATTGTAAAAGATAAGAGAAAGTAAACAACTATATTTACCTTGGTTTTAACAGAACAAGTCCAGTAATGGAAATCTCTAATAGTTCTAGGACCCAACCTGTAAATGATAAATTTGGGACTTCTGTCAAAAGACTTCTTTTCCCTTTAATCTAACATTTACTAACTTAATCAATAGGATCAGCTTCCAAAATGGAGTGAGGCTCCTATACATCTAGACATTAGAAAATTGATACTCTGTAAATTGACAAGTTATGCACTGAAAAACAGTAACAACAACAACAACAAAAAACCGCTATGCTCCCAGAATCCCTGGACGTAGGCAAGATTAACTGGCACAGAATCCTAATGGATTCTTCCAAGAGCATCATACATTTATTTACACAAACATGAAAGGAATCTGGTCTTTCCATCGGACAGGGCAAGATATATGACAAAATAATTTATAAATTATCAAGGGCTCATGAGGGAGGGGGGAGTGGGGAGGGAGGGGGAAAATGAGGACCTAATGCTGGGGGCTTAAGTGGAGACGAAATGTTTTGAGAATGATGAGAGCAATGAATGTACAAATGCGCTTTACACAATTGATGTGTGTATGGATTGTGATAAGAGTTGTATGAGCCCCTAATAAAATGATTAAAAAAAAAAAAAGAATCTGGTCTTTTCCTCTAACTCATGGAAAGTACTTGCTAAATGTTTGGAATTTCCCCCCAGTGACTGGACTTTGTCACTCACAGAGGAGCTTCGGACCACACCTACCTCAAAACTAAAAAAAAAAACCAAACCCACTGCCATCGGGTGATTCCAACATGTTATCAGGGGTGGGGCCTAGGCCTTGGAGAAGGACATCACACTTAGTAGGGGGCCAGCAAAAAAGAGGACAACGCTCCATGAGATGGGTTAACACAGTAGCTGTAACAATGGGCCCAAACATGGCAGTGATTGTGCGAACAGAGCAGAACTGGATCCAGTTTTTCCTTCTGCCACACACAGGGTTGCTAAGAGTTTGAACTAGCCAGACGGCATGTAACAAGGTAATAATATGCATTCACTCCACTAGCTGTTTTGAAATCCATTCTGACTTTCCCCTCCGGTTTTGGCCATTGGAAAACTGACCAGTTTTAAATTATAAAGACTCCTATACTAAATGTATCTACCTATATTTGTAGTAGGAGAAGCCCTGATGGTATAGCTAGCTGGTTAAGTGTTGGGCTGCTCACTGCAAAGTCTGCAGTTCGAATCTACTAGCTACCCTGTGAAAGATGAGATTTTTTTTTGCTCTAAAAAAGATTTACAGTCTCAAAAACTCTGTCCTATGGTCATGATTTGGCATCAGCTCAATGGTCTGTCTTAATGACTCACAGTATATTTACCTACATTATTTCTTACAGAGTTTCAATTTACAAATTTTTTTTTTTAAACCAGAGTTCTTTGCTTTTGCTCCACTAGCTGCGTTCTCGCCCACTTGCCAATCCAAAGCAGTCAGATTTCTGGCACAGGGCTGAGAACATTCTGCTGCTGATGAAAGAAAAGTCATGGCCCACGTAAGACAGCAATTGCCAGCTGCTTAATTTTTTTATTTTGGTTAAGAAAAATTTGCAGAAATTCAAGTCACTTCTCTTGTCCCTGTATCCATAAATCTTGCATCACACAGCTGAAACTATACAGCTATATTGTGACCACTGATTCACCATAGATGTGTCTTTTAAGGGCCAAAAATCTAGTTCAGTTTAAAATGTTTTCTTGGGTTGTTTAGGCAAGAGTTTCTAATGTTAAATAATAGGTAATATTAGCTGACACATGATCATACACAAAAAAACCCCACTTTTCAGATACATCATTGTATGTATTTGAAATCACAGAAAAATGTCATTCTTTGAAAATGGTGCAATATACCTATGTGCAGCTTTACAAAGAAAATAAAATTTTAAAGTTGAAGACAAAATTTTGGAAGGGCACTGGAAGATTAATTTAAAAAAAAATTATATACACTCTCTTAGAATCGTGGCTCAGTGTAACTGCACAGAAACCCGAGTATGTTCAAAGAGGTACAACAATTCGAGAAGGAGCTAATAACCTGCACCAGTGAGTTCTAATCTAAGGGCCAAGGAATGCACATTCAACCATTGCTTGTAACCTAAAACATTGTTTCCCCACACATGCCCACTAGCTTTCAAACATGGAGCATTAACTAGTGTAATAAAATAAAAATAATTTTAAAATCGTATTTTTGCCATTTAGTATAATTTCAATATATGGATACTAAAAGTAAAATTATTTGTGTTGGGGCGCAGTGTTTTTCATATTCAGAAAATGTCAGTGCTTCTAAGCCAGTATCCAAAGTTCTGGATCTAAAATTTTACTTCCCAAAGGGGCACTGGTGGTGTAGTGGTTCTGCACTGGGTTGCTAACTGTCAGGTCAGCAGTTTGAAACCACCAGTCATTGCGTGAAAAAGGTGGGGCTTTCTACGCCTGGAAAGAGTTGGTCTCTGAAACTCACAGGGGTAGTTGTACCCTGTCCTCTAGGGTGGCTACGAGGGGGCATCCACTCAATGGCAGTGAGCCAGAGGACTCCCAATGGGCCATGGTAGCTTAATGGTTACATGTTGGGCTGCTACCCACAAGTCAGCAGTTCAGAATGACAAGGCTTCTACTCCTGTCTTGGAACCCCAGTGGGGCAGTCTATCCAGTCCTGGAGTGGGGTGAGGGATATGAATTGACGTTGACTCTAAGACCGTTGAGTTTTAGGGAAGAATTCCCAAGGTAAATATCTCACAACTATTACATTTTCAATAAGTATACCTATGTAAATATAAGTAATGTGTGCCAAGTGCCAAGTACCGGCCTCGCTTTAGTTACCACGATGAATAAGATATGATTACAGCCCCAAGCTCCAATTGGCAGGAAGCAGATCAGACATGAACAAATAATGCAACCTGATAAATGATGCATAGCTACCATGTTTCTAGGGGCATGTGGCAAGTGTCATCAATGTCATCTTAGGGAGTCTGAGAGGACTACAGCTATGAAATGGGTCTTGGAATTTAAAGCGGAAATGGTGCAGTGTTTACAATGGCAGAGTTGTGCAAATGCAGTGCATGGCATGTTTGGGGCAACAACCGAAACCTGGTAATGGTTGGATATGCAGACACAAGAAGGGGCTAAACTTGTAAAATGGACTGGAACAGATTGTAAATGGCCCTAAGCGGTATGCTTAACAATTAGGACTTGAGTCCGTCAGCAACATATTACTGAAAGCGTTTAAACCAGGGAGAGATACAAACAAACAAACAACCCAAAAAGTTGCATCGCAGAATGGTAATGCTGCTGAAAGAAATGAGGGATGGTGGGGTGGGCTGCAAGGGTAGTAATAGTGGTGGAAGAAGACGTGGTGCCAGGTAAGTGACCAGACTGGGGTTCTGGTGTGGACAGCAGGACGGATACTGGTATCGCTATCAGAGAAGGACAGGAAGACAAGGAGATGACAGCTAGTAGCCCTTGGTGGGCAGTTTCAAGAAAGAGGTTCGATTTATCCAAGAGAAACTTGGAAGATATTTTGTAGAAAGAGGGAACAGTTATCCACGTCCAAAGCTACAAAGCGGTCATTTATAACGAGTCCCTCTTTCCTGCAGCCCAACTCGCCCTCCCCGCAAGTGTGAGCTCCCCGGTTTAAAAAAAAAGGGAAAGAAGAGATACGCACAGAATATTCACAGGCTATTTACAGGGCCAAGGTTTCCCATTAAACACTTTCTTGCTGCACCTTAGTTCCGCCCAGAGGAGCCCCAAGCTGAAGGCAGGGAGAGGAAATCCGGCTTCTAGTGCGAGCGACCGACAGGCCTTCGGCTCCCTTTCCGGAATTCGTTTCACTCACTCCCGTTTCAGTGCCCGCAGCCGCCAGCTGTGGAAGCTGAGGACTCGCTGCCTTTATCCACGGAGACCTGCGGGGCAGAGATGTCGCGCACCTGTCCAGCTCCCTCAGCAAGCTGACAGAGAAGCGGAGAGAGTTACCACAGAGGCAGTGGCCCGGGGCCCGAGCGGAGCCCCGGCATCGCCCCGGGAATGCCTCCTCGGAGAAGCGCTCCGTGAGCACCCCAACCTCGCGATATTTCCTCCCCGGGCGGTCGTCGGGTCGGGTCGGGTCGGGTCGAGTCGAGTCGAGGGATTTGTTTGCCTTGCCTCGCCGACTTACGCAAGAGGTGGGGGCGGGTCCCTGCGACATCCCTCCTCACTTATCCACTCCCAGCCCTTCGCGTGGTCTCGCAAAGCCTCGCGAGGGTTCGGGAAGCCAGCCTGGGCGGAGAGACGGAGGAAGGGAGGCGGGGTGGGAGGGTCCTCCGTATAGTGTGAGAGGGTGTTACGACTGAGAATAACCTCTCGGGGTCCGGGTGGGGGAATTAGAGCTTTCAGGTCTTTTATCTCACTGGGTGGCTGGGAAAGTTAGCAGGAAGAAAACCTTGAGGGCCGAAGGCTTTATCCCTCCCCCGGCTCCGCCCTCTTCCTGTCAGCGACCTGAGCGGCTGGCCCACTCGGGGGAAGGGGAAGCTCGGCGGGGTTCACGGAGCGCACAGTGCGCACGCGCGATCTCGAGTGTGTGAGCGTTTGTGTGTTCGTGCGCACGCGCGCGCGCCTGCATTTCGGAAGCCTGGGAAGGAGCGGTGTGCAAGGCGATGAGCGGGGACACACAGCCCCCGGTCCTTGGTACCAGGCACTGGTGATTGTGCACTGACCGTAGCCACACTGCCAGCAGCCTTTCTAGAGACTGCGGCCCGTAGCTTCTTCGTTTTCATTGCAGGACCAGCCTCGAAAGTAAGCTAACCTCGATCCTGAGGTGCTCCCATCCGCTCACCTTGTTCCGTCCGCGCCTCCCCTCCCCTGCAAAGTGTATCTAGACGGCTTCTTAAAGAGTTTTTGCATGTTGGGGAAATGCATTTGAAAGTCAAAGTTGAAAATAGATGGATACGGCTGCTAACCGTGTGCTTTTCGGATGTGAATTGTCTATTCAGTGTCAGATTTTATTGGCGAAGCAAGGGAATACCCTATGCGGTTTTTAAAGTTTTAAAAGCGCCTCCTTCCTAGCAACGAGATGGTAGCAAAGAACTTTTGCTATAAGGGGAGGGTGTGACTTAGGTCCTTAATCTTAATGAGAAGACCTGACGTGCAGTCAGCGTAGAGTTAACTGTTTGGGGCTTTTACTGTCACTTCTCTTTCTTGTTCGTTTCCCCTCCACCCTTTCTCAGAAGTCTTGAAACCTTTCTGTGGACAAAAGCACCTGAAAGCTGGCTTGGCTTAGTTTCCGTCAGTTTGTGTGATTAGTGTCAGTTAGCAAGGAACATCAAAAGTGTACTTTGGAGAGTATTTGTCGTTCGCTTGGCGTTATAAAAGGGAATTAAATATTATATCTAAAAATGTGGTTGTCTAACAACTTAATGTCTATTCAAAGGCAAAATCAAATGTATGGACTCAAACTTTGCCTGTGCCTAGGAGGGAGACAGCTCAATACGTGTTCGAGCCTCTCTGGAATTGATACCTTTTGTTCTTGACGCCACTAAATCTTGTTCTTTGTTGGATACATTTCTTTGAACATGGATAATTCATGTCCCCTACCAAATCCTGAGGAAAGAATTAATTGCAGATCATTTAAGATACTAGATGTTATGTTAAACACATTCATCTAATATATATATCCCCTTACAGGTTAGAACAAAATGAAGATTTTTTCTGAATCTCATAAAACTGTGTTTGTTGTGGATCACTGCCCTTACATGGCAGAATCATGCAGACAGCATGTCGAGTTTGATATGCTGGTGAAGAATAGGACCCAAGGAATCATCCCTTTGGCCCCCATCTCTAAATCACTGTGGACTTGCTCAGTAGAATCGTCTATGGAGTATTGTAGAATAATGTATGATATATTTCCTTTCAAAAAGCTGGTGAGTATTTAAGTCTGAACTACAAGCAAAACCATGACTTGGGGGATGTACTTAAAGGTTAAATTTATTTTTAAAAAATAAGAATTTGTTATAGATTTGACTTACAACAGGTTGTTTCATACTTTTAAGACATATTGTGTAGAACTCCCCATTGGAGTTAGTGTATTATGTTAGGACCAGTAATAACAGCTAACAAATACTGAGCACTTACAGCTGCAGACATATTCTAAAGTGCTTTATATTTATTTACTCCTTTCTGTGATGTACTGTAATTGGTAAGGCAGTCAAAATATGTCACAACCAGTATGGAATAGGCATTGACTACTGGGAACTGTCAATAGCCCTAGCAGAAGAGATGTTGGCTACAATCACTTTGTGCTGACACAAACCAGCTGAATATTGACCTTGTGTTTATTTCTTCCACTTTGGAGATGCAGAGACTGAGCCAAGGAGATGATAGGAAACATGCCTGCATTACATTGCTAGGTAAAGACAGAGACAGAATTTGAACCCAAGTAGACTTGGTTGTAGTTTTAGCAAATATATTCTAAACTGGGGCAGTATTTGATATTACCAAAAAAATGCTCTTAAAAATGCTAAGTGGAAATTGTTTTTTATCAATTATAAGAGAAATTGAAGATCGATAGAAGTTCTCAGTATTAAAGTTACCTTTCAGCTTTAAGATCTCCAAAGTTGTAACTTGGATTACTCATTTGGATAACCACAGTAGGTGATTGACTTGGTTTTCATTTGGAGCAGCCTAGGCTGGCACCAGAATTCCTGGGTGGTGCAAGTGGTTAAGTCCTACTAGATGAAAATGTTTTGAACCCACTCAAGGACACCTTGATTGATGTTCCTAGCGATCTGCTTCTGAAAGGTCACAGTTTGAAAACCCTATGGAGTAGTTCTATTCTGCACACCTGCAATTAACAGCAGGAATAGGCTGGGAGCTAGCCAGACTGGCATAGGTAGGGCAGTAACAGTGAGGCTGGGTTGAACAGAGTCTGATAACATGCCACTAATTTTAGTCTTTGTGGCACAGTGGTTAAGTACTCAGCTTTTACTCAGAAGCCGTTAGGTTGTAGAAAGATGTGGTAGTCCGTGTCTATAAAAATTTCAGCCTTTGAAATCCCTATGAGGTGGCTCTACTGTGCCCTGTAGTGTCTCTGTGAGTTGGATTGATTGGCAATGGCTTTGGTTGGTTGGTTCTGGTTAAGAGCTGTGATTCTTAAAGCGTTTTCTGCCCTGTAGGGTTACAATGAGTTGGAATCAACTAACAGGATTAAGTGGAGTCCCATATTTTGTATAGATTAGCAAATAAAGTGAGGATACTATTCTTAAAGGGATTTAAGACACAGGCTTTGGGTTAAATAGTTACTTCTTTAGCTAACAAGTGTGATCTCTTTTCAAAACTTAGGTTTCTTCCTATATACGAGGGGGTACCCCCCCAAAACTGGAAAAATGTGTTGCTAGGCAGATTCGTAGTATGCAGCAATCCCATCCCTCTCCCAGGCAAGCATCTAGCAACTCCCTCTGAGTTAGTGCACCCAGTGGCATTGCCTGGGAAGGTTCCCTCTGGTCACAGTGAATTTTTTCGTTAAAGTTTTCTGCTCGAACCTCATTTTTTGTGATGGCCAGCTTGTGCTGTAAAATTTTGTTTCCCGCTTGGGAAAAACTCAAGTGTATGAGTGATGTTCTCATTTTTTTAAAAGTGAAATGTTGGTTGATGACAAACCTCATTCTGGATGAAAATGTCCACATGTAGTACGTTTGGAGATTGTTCCACCAGGTCAGACTATTGATCAAATTTATGGTTAGAAGTTCTGAAAAGATTGTGTAACAATGTATGACTAAAAAGGCTTGATTTGTGGCAGATGGGGACATGACAATGCACCTGCTCATGCAGCCATCTCAGTGCACCAGTTTGCCTCCTTTGCCCTATGCACCTTACTCACCACAGACCTTGCTCTGTGAGGCTTCTTTTTGTTTCCAATATTGAAGAGGGACAGGAAAGGACAGTGATTTGATGACGTAGAAGAGGTGAATGAAAAAAGGAGGGTGGTGCTGTCAGCCACCCAAACAGATGAGGTTGAAAAATGTTTACAAGAATGGAATCATAGATTTGACAAATGTATTAAGTCTAATGAAGAGTACTTTAAGGTCATAAAGTTGTTTTGTAAAAAAATGTAAATATATAGCTTTGAAAAAAATTTTCTGTTTTTTTGGGGGGGCGGTACTGTCCTCATCAGCATAACACCTACTTTCTATGGTTGTTGTAAGATTTAAATGAAGCATTGTAAGTAAAGTAGCTTGTAAAATAAATCCGGCAGATGAACTGTAAGAGAGACCACTTTTCAATTCATTCCTTTGGGAAGGAAAAATTGGTATTTCATACATGTTAGGAAAAATGATTTTGACTGCAACTTATATACCAGGGGAAATAAATGTCATCCTTCTCCCAAAATGGAAAATAGTTATTTCTTATATTTTCTAATATGTTCCTGTGTTAGGCAGGGTTTTTAAGAGAAACAAAACCAGCATACTTATTATATGTAGATATAGATATATGGATAGATTTATACAGCATGAAAGAATATGACAGCTAATTAATCCACACAGCAGTACAGAGGGCTCAGTTCAACTCACTTCTCTGTAACAGTTAGTAAACTGGAAGTCCTTCAACTCTCATAGCATGCTGGGCCCAAGGTCAAGGAAACAGACAGCTGAGTCTTCCCTGGGGCATTGCAGTCAAGAGTCAGTCTGCCCACAGGCAGCAAACAGCAGGATGGGTCACCAACAGTCAGCAGCTCAGGAACTTAGTTAAGCAGGCCTGATGGGATATTTAACTCAAGAAATGCAAGACAACTGAAGCAATGCAAGACGACAGGATCCACCAGCCTCAAGCTCAAGCGATGTATGCATCAGCAGCAGGGTGAAGCAGGTCTCCAAGGAACCTCAAGCTCTTAGCGACGGGCTGGCTGTCCCACAGGTAGTGTGGCTCACAAATTGAGGCCAAGAACTAGCTAAAGCAGCTTCACGCTGGCCAGATCACCAGAGAACAAGAGAGAGCGGCAGGTCTTGCTGAGCCATTTATCTCTTTATTCTCCAATCAAACTGTGACCTTTGTAATCCCACATGTTCCTTTTGGCCAGGTTGGTACAATAAACCTACCTATCACAATTCCTTACCACCATTTTCTTAGCTGATAGTATTAAAAAGTCTAAACCCATAATGTGGATTTCTGTTGTCATAGATATAGTATGGCTACTTCCTGTTTGAGCTTATAGCCTACCCTTCTATGTGCTCTGACCTTTCTATTTCTGGTACATGTGTAGAGGGCCTTTTATTTGCTTTCCTTTTATGTGGATTTCTCTGACACCAGCTTTTTCCACAGTTATTTTCCTTTCAACAATTGGAATTCCCCTGAGTTGCCACCTCCAGAGTCTTACTCTGATCACGTGATCTAAAGTAAAGTAGTCAACAGTTTTTTCCCCATAGTTTTTCTCACTCTGAAATGTTCTTGCCCATTTGTTTGTATTCTACCTGCATGACTGGCTATTTCACCACATTCCCTTATAGACCCCAGCATCCCCTATATAGTAAGCAGCATTGTTTTAGGCAGCACTGTCTCTTCATATCCTCAGTGTCAAGAATAGCACGTGGCTTAAATGAGAGGACTTCAGTAGTACATAAAAATGGACCTGCTCAATACTTGCCCTCATGAAGTAATCACTGAAGATAGAGGTGTGTAACAAAAAGTGATAAAAGATATGGTGCCTGGCTATCAGAAAGAATAGTATCTAGGGTCTTAGAGGCTTATCTTAAAACAAGCAGCCATTTAAATGAGGTGCCAGCTATGTAGACACAGAAGAAGCCCATCAGCCCGTGTGATCCAAGAATTGAAAACAGTAAAATTCAAGATCAGAGGAGGGAACTGTTTGAGCTCAAATTTTGAGCACAGATATGTTACAGAAGGCTGTAGATGACCATGAAAAGCCCTAAGTCCATTTTTAGAGTCCCATGTGAATTAAGCCTCACTTGAACTCTCTCAGACCATTGCTTGGGATATGAATAGTGTTGCCCTCAGTGCATTGGAAAGTGGATTATTGCAGATGGTTAAAATTTAACCTATAATTGACTTTCGCTTTTGACCAATTTAAAATTTGTTCTATTTTCTATTATCTCCTGCTTTCTTTTGTATTAAGGATTTTCTGGGTTTTGTTGTAATTTAGGTTTTTTTCTTTTTAACAATTTTAATGGCAGGCAATCCACAAATCACACGATTCAATAGTTCAGTCATATCAAGAAGAATTGTACAATCATTACTATAATCAATTTCAGATGCATTTAGGGTTTTGATGATTTTCTTTACATAAAATCCAGGATAGGTAATCCATAGAGCCAGCAACTAGATGATTGGTTCCTCAGGGTATAGCAGGTGAGATTAGGGGGGGCATGGGAGCCAATTATAATAGGTACAGGAATGAAGATGTTCCAAAATTAATTGCTTGACTCTTTAATATATTTAAACCATTGAATTGTATGGTAAGTGAATTATATATCAATGAAATAGGTTTTTAAAGTGCATGGAAAAATTCCATTTTTCCAAGTACTCTGCTGAAGCCCCTTCATGTCGTTACAAAATGAACGAAGGAGTAGTAGAAATTGCATGTTATTTTGCTGTATGATGATGATTAAATTGAAATTAGAGTTAAATGCACATTGTTTTTGAAATCTAGGTGAATTTCATTGTGAGTGACTCTGGAGCACATGTCTTAAATTCTTGGACTCAAGAAGACCAAAATTTGCAGGAGGTATGATTCTGTTTTGAGTTGTAACCAGTTTTGAAAATTGCTTAAATGTGGTAAAAAAATTTTTTTTTCTTGTAATGCTTAGATTTTATCAAGTTTTCCACATTGTTTTAGAATGCTATGTAATTGTAAGAAAAATAGCCATCTCCATTTCACGCTTTCTTTACCTACATATTAGAAGGAAACTTTAACTCTTTAGCTATTGTGCTATTTATTTCCATTATTTGTAAACAAAATGCTTTTCCTGCTATTTATAGAGTTCTCAATTTACATCTTATCTGTTTATTACTATTGTGAATGTGGAATTACCTCTATGCCCCTCCCCCTCATATGCTTTAGCCTAGTCCCTTTCCTCATTTGTTATCTTAGAATTTTCTGTCATTTCAAAATTCCATGTTTGTATTTTTATATCTACATTATATGTACACAGGTAATATGTGTGATAATTTCCTTATACAATTCTTTTTATTTCTATAATTCACTTCTTCCCCCACCCCTTTTTTGACTATTTTTCCTTATATCTCTTATGCTTTTCTTTGTGTCTGCAAAACCTTTCAATAGTTTTATCACAAGACCCCAGTGCCTAACCCACTGCTATTGAGTCAATTCTGGCTGATGGTAACTGTGGGGCGGGGAAAGGTGTGCATCTTCACAGGAGCAGTTTCATCTTTTACCTGTGCAGAGGCTAGTGGGTATGAATCACCAGCTTTTCATTTGGCAGCCCTGTGCTTATCCCACAGCACCACCAGTGCTCCTTTTATCTTTTTTTTAAAATCATACAACTCATCACAATCCATACATACTCAATTGTATAAAGCACATTTGTACATTCATTACCGTCATCATTCTCAAAACATTTGCTCTCCACATAAGCCCCTGACATCAGCTCCTCATTTTTCCCCTCCCTCTCCACTCCCCCCTCCCTCATGAACCCTTGATAATTTATAAATTATTATTTTGTCATACCTTACACTGTCCAATGTCTCCCTTTACCCACTTTTCTGTTGTCCGTCCACCAGGGAGGAGGTTATATGTAGATCCTTGTAATCGGTTCCCCCTTTCTACTCCACCCTCCTGGTATCACCATTCTCACTACTGGTCCTGAAGGGGTCATCCATTGCTCCTTTTATCTTAAAGGTATAACCGAACATCACCATTGGATCTGATTAGTTTCCCCTGAAGACCTTCCTGGAGGCCAATTTTCTGTTCCTTCAGCAGTCTCTAATCTACTTACTTTATATTTCTGTAGATTATCTGATTCTGGATATTTCATATGTGATTTCTTTCACTTAGCATGTTTTCAAAGTTCATCCGTGTCATAGCTTATATCAGTACTTCATTTGTTTTATAGCTGGATATTATTCTGATATTTAGATATAGCGCAGTTCATTTATCCTCTTGTCAGTTTTCATTGTCTCCACCTTTTATGTATGGTATAAAATCTTATAAATGCAGATGTAAAATTTTTGCATTTGCATGTTTTCTATTCTCTCGGTGCATAGAAGTGGTATCAGTGTGTAATACAACTTTTATTGAACTTTTTGAGGAACTGTAAAACTTTTTCAGAGTGACTACATTGTTTCACATTTCCTTTAGCAGTGAACAAGGGGTTTGATTTCTTTGTATTCACATCTCATTTGCTACACTTTTCTCTTCTAAATTTTGTCTGTTTCTTTGTTGTTGAGAATATACACAGCAAATCATATACCAAACAGTTTGTTCATGTACATATTAGTGACATTGATTACATTTTTCCAGTTTTGCAGCCGTTCTCAGCTTCCTTTTCTGAGTTGCTTTTTCTTCATTCACATAAATGCCCTCTCCCAAGAAGGTTGCTATCTAATCTTTCAAGTTACTGTTGTCAATTTGATCCCTTTGCCATCTTAAAAGCGCATAAGGAATCTAGTCATACTAGTGGATATGATGTCGTATCTCATTGCGGTTTTGATTTACATTTTTTCAATTACTAATGCTGTCAGTTATCTTTTCATGGAATTCTTGGCTATCTGTATTTCCTCTGAACACATGTCTATTCAGACATTTGCTCAGTTTTTAATGGGGTTATTGGTATTTTATTACTGACTTGGAAGAGGTCTGTGTCTGGATACAAGTTAAATTATTAGGTGTGATATGCAAATATTTTCTCATTCTGTGTTTTCTTTTATCCTTTGAAGCACAAAACTAATTAATTTCAATGAAGTATATACAAGTTATATTTAGTTTTTGTAACAAAGAATCCTTTGTCTAATCTGAGGTCATAAGGATTTATCTTCATATTCTCAGATTTTTATGATTTTAGCTATGACATTTAGGCGTTTAATGTAATTTGAGTTAATTTTATATATGGTATGAGGGATAGATTGAACTTTATTACTTTTTCATATATAAATCATTTTATTGGGAACTTGTACAACTCTTTTCACAAATTCAAGCACATTGTACATTTGTTGCCATCATCATTTTCAAAACATTTTCTTACTACTTGAGCCCTTGGTGTCAGCTCCTCACCTTTTCTCCTCCCTCATGAGCCCTTGATAATTTATAAGTTATTATTTTTTTATGTTGCACTGTCCAATGTCTCCCTTTACCCCCTTATCGTCGTCCATCCCCCTGGGAGGAGGTTATATGTAGATCATTCTGATTGGTTTCCCCTTTAACCCCCACCTTCCCCTTCCCCTTCCCCTCCTGGTATGGCTACTCTCAATATTCATTCAAGGAGTTTATCTGTCCTGTATTCCCTGTGTTTCCAGCTCTCATCTGTACCCATGTACATGCTGTGGTTTAGCCAGATTTGTAAGGTAGAATTGGGATCACGATAGTGAGAGTGAGGAAGCATTAAAGAACCAGAGGAAAGCTCTATGTTTCATTGGTGTTATACTGCACCCTGACTGGCCCGTCTTCTCCCCGTGACCCTTCTGTAAGGGGATGTCCAATTGCTTACACATTGGCTTTGGGCCTTCAGTCGGCACTCCTCCCCACCCCCCTGATTCACATTGACATGATTTTTTGGTTTGGGTCTTTGCTGCCTGATACCTGATCCCGTGGACATCTCATGATCATACAGGCTAGTGTTCTTCTTCCATGTGGGCTTTGTTGTTTCTCAGCTAGATGGCTGCTTGTTTATCTTCAAGCCCTTAAGACCTCAGACGCTATATATTTTTAATAGCCTGGCACCACCAGCTTTCTTCACCACATTTGCTCATGCACACATTTGTCTTTAGTGATGCGTTTTGGGAAGCTGAGCATCTCAGAATACCAGGTTATTAGAATAAAGTGTTCTTGTGTTGAGGGAGTACTTGAGTAGAGGTCCAACGTCCATCTGCTTCCTTAATACGCAACCTATAAATATATGTACATAAATCTATTTCCCCATTGTCATATATTTGTATATGTACATGCCTATATTTAGATTTTTATAAATGTCCTTTGCCTCCTAGTTCCTCTATTTCCTTTAACTTTCTTCTTGTCTTCTTGTTCAGCCTTCATTTGGATCTCAGTAATTCCTCTCGGTTACATTGCCCTTGATCAAGCCCTACCAGACTTCCCATACCCTCCTCGCCATCAATTTTCGGTTACTTGTTGTTCCCTTGTCCCTGGGTTTGATAACACCCATTTTCTTTCCTTTTGTCTCCCCATTTCCCATGTCTCCCCACAACTATCATCCCGATGTTTTTTTTCCTCCCGCTTGTTTATCCTGCCTAACTAGATTGACATGCAGAGATAATAACATGCACAAACACAAGACAGAGCAAAATAAAGCAGCAATAGAAAAATCAAACAATAACAACAACAAAACAACAAAAAAAGCCAATGCCAAAAAAAGAAAAGCCTATAAGTAGTTTAAGGTATATTTGTTGACCATTACCAGTGTTTTCCACTCAAGTCTGATGGGGCACTGCACCCTGACCCCACAGTCTATTTTTGGTGTTCCCTGGGGACTTCATTGCTCTGCTCCCCCTTGCTGTTCTGTGGCATGCCCTTAGTGTTTCACCTCTCTGTGGTGGGGTCAGATCGGGCACAATTCCCGCAGTGTGTCTCCAGTGTTGTCCCCCTTAGTGCTATGGGTCAGTGAGGGACGTAGTGTCTTGTGGTGGGGCCGGCCCTATGGTCCTCGCTGTGTATTGGCTGCTCTCAGCAGAAATACCATCCTCAGGGCTTGGTGGGCCAGGATGTGCTTCACTCTTTTTTCCTTTCCCTTCGTTTGCTCCTGTATGCTCTGATCAGACATGTCCCTCTCCCTGAGCTGTAGCTTCAGTACTGTCCGCTTAGTTGGTAATGGGACCGGCTCCTGAAATTTATTCTTTTACATTTGGCTTATCTAGTTGTTCTAGCACCATTTGTTGATAGAAATTATTCTTTTTCTATTGAGTTGCCTTGTAAACCTGGTTGAAAAGCAGTTGGGTATAAATGTGTGGGTTTATTTTTATTCTGTGAGACTAATTTTTAGTTCGTTTATTACAGGTAATATAAGTACAATTGATGTGTCTGTATTGATCTTATATCCTGCAACTTTGCTGAATTCATTTACTCTAGTAGTTTTTATATAAGATCGTGTCATCTATAAGCAGAGATCATTTTACTTTCTTTTTAATTTGGGTGCCTTTTTTTCTTTCTCTTTTCTGATTGCCATGGTTAGAACCACACAGCACAACATTGACTAGAAGGGTTGAGATGGAACATCCTTATCTTATTATTCCGAGAGGGAAAGCATCCAGTCTGTCACCATTAGTATATGGTTAGCTGTGGATGTTTTTGTAAATGCACTCGTAGGAGGAAGTTCACTTCTTTTCGTGAAAGTTGTTGAGTTTTGTTAGATACTTTTTCTGGCTCTGTGAAGATGGTAGTGTGGTTTTGTTTTTTCTGTTGATATATTGCATGAATTGATTTTGAGATTGCAAACCAACTTTGCATTTCTAGAACAATCTCACTGGGTCATGGTGTATCTTTCTATAGATGGCTGCATCAGATTAGTAATGTTCAGGGGACATTCGCAGCTATATTTATAAGCCACATCAGTGTGTAGTTTTCTTGTGTAATTTTGTCTGAGTTGCACATATTATTACAAAGTAAATTTTCCCTGTTTACTTAGCTGATGGCAGCATTAGCTGCCGTTGGGCCTCCTAACCCTAGGGCAGACCCAGAATGCTGCAGTATTCTACATGGTCTAGTTGCAGCAGTGGAAGCCCTCTGCAAAATTACAGAGCACCAGCATGAGGCTCGTACCCAGCTGATGGAGAGTGCTGAACGTGTTGGAAATAGGGGACGGATCATTTGCATTACTAATGCCAAAAGGTGAGACATTAGTAACAATCATTCTTTCACTTAGGGAATTTAAATATCGTGTTGGGTTTTTTATTTTAAAAAGCTGGGACAGCGTGGTAGCAATTGTTTTAAGTGGCTTTTTGTTATTTAATTTTGAGGCTATGTTTATTCAATTCTAAATCATTTTCAGTTAAAAAATAATTTAAACTGTCTTATAAACCAATATGATTACTTTTTTCTCACTAGTTTTGAGCTTTTTTTTTTGTATTGGGGGTGAGCACTAAAGGCAGTCCTTATAAAAATAATCTTAGTGTCTGCAACAAGATAGTGTAACCAAATAGTGCTTTTAATTCTTTCTCTTACTGTTTATTCCATAGTTTTATATGTGTTTTTATATATGTTTTTCTGTCGTAGTGATAGCCATGTGCGAATGCTGGAAGACTGTGTGCAAGAAACAATTCATGAACATAACAAGCTTGCTGCAAATTCAGATCAGTGAGTATGAGCTCAATGAAATATGTACATTCATATTTATATGTATTTTCTTTAAAATAATATCCAGTGTAATATTCACTTGGATTCTCTACTGCCTCAATAAATTAGTAAAAAAAATGTGATATGTGATTACCAACTTAAAAAAATTTTTCTCTTTGACTTTTCAGTTTTACACTTTTCTGCAAGAAAAGGTGTTTAGAAGGGTAAAATAATATACATATTTAAAGTGCTTTGATACCTCAATTTTTCATACTCTAAATTTATAAAACAAGCAGCTTGTTGCTAGATTATTCAATATATTCCAATTCAAAGCGTTGTTTATATGAAACATCCAGAATAGAATAATCTATAAAAACAAAGTATATTAGTGTTTGCTTATGGGGCAGAAGACTGACTCCAGAAAGGTCTTTAGGGGAACAAAACGGCAATGTATGGATTTTTAACAAAATCTGTAAAAGACACACTTCACACAGTCACAGTGAAGACTGTGTATGAGATTGAGTTATTATTAATTTTCTGAGGTAGGATAATGACATTATGTATATGAAGACTATTCACACTTGGTATGGCATGTTGAAGTGTTTTAGAGTGAAGTGTCATGTCTTTTGCAACTTATTTAAAGAATAATAAAAGGAAAAGAAATACTTAATATATTCACATTCTCTGTAGCAGTTTTCCATTGAGAATTACAATTGATGATTGGAATTTTCCCTTTATTTTATTCACACAGAAAATTATATTTTTCACTTGAATTATATTTGTATAAGTTGTTCATTAAGTATTCACATAACTGCTGCAGTTATCCACAGTATAAACATTTCGGCTTTTATCATCACAGTAACTACTGATTGTAGAGATACACCATCTTAGTGTATTAAACTTTCAGTAGTTTTCATTTGCCTGAATATTTTACATGGTATGTAGCCTTAAATTCTAAGTGAGAAGATTTTCTTTAAGTCTCATGCAGATTCAGAGGTGTGAGTTAGTACTGATTCATACCTACCCAGTTGGTGAAGACAGCCTTGTGTCTGATCGTCCTAAAAAAGAGGTAAGTGTGAAAGCAATCAAATAAAATATCATTGTGAGTTATTAATAATATGTATTGAGAGGGGTTAATATTAAAGTGGTCACATTGCCAGCAATTTCTGCCAAGAAAACATTGGGAATTTTTGAAGAAATCTGTGTAAGTAAACTACCTTAATTGATTCCTCGTTATAAATTGGAGCTTGTACAGTCTTTTCTCAATTGTCTGCTTGTCAACATTTTTATTTTAATTAAGCATGCTTAATTGAACAGTTTATATTGTTCCTGAGATTTCAGCTACTTTAATAAGTGAATTTCCATTATTTTAATGATACTTTATTCTGTAAAACTATTTTCCTCTCTTGTTAGAAAATCTTAAGGCTTTTCAACAAAAATACACTGTAGTAACAGAGAAGTTTATTTTTCTTGTCCAAAAGGGTTGCCCAAGGGGGAACTAATTCTGAACCTTGGTTCTACTTTTTCATTAAGGGTGATCATTTTTAAAAGAAAGGATATTCTGATGGTTATTAAATGAGTTCATATCACATAAATTTTTCATCAGTAATCATGTTTAGAAATATGACTTCACATACCAGCTTTACATTTTTACAAGCTTCTGCAGTCTGAATTGATCAAACATGCAGTTGATCAAAGATGCATTGATAATTACTGGTGATTAGAATGTGAAAATTGGACACAAAGAACCAGGATTAGCAGTTGGTAATAGGAATGATGCTGGAAAGCTCATGATAGAATTTCACATGACCAATGATTTATTCATTGCAGATACTTTCTTCTTTTTTAAACAACATAAATGGTGACTATATACATAAACCTCACCAGATGGAATACATCAGGATCAAACTGACTACATTTATGAGAAAGAGACAATCAAGAAACTTAAATATTATCAGCCAGAACAAGGCCAGGGACCAATTGCCAATGGACCAACAAATGCTATATGTAAATTCAAGTTGATGCTGATGAAACTTCAGACTTCCCCACTAGAGCCAAAGTACAACTCTGAGTATATTCCACCAGAATTTAGAGACTATTTCCAGAATAGTTTTAACTCAAAGACAGTCCAGTTGAGTTGTGGGATGACATCAAGGACATCACACATGAAGAAAGCTAAGGGTGTCTAGTTGAATTGTGGATTGTTATAATATCTTTAAGAGCTCCCAATATAATGATTAAAAAATAGGAAGAAGAAAGCTAAAGGTCATTAAAAAGACAGGAAGGAAAGAATAAAATGGATGTCAGAGAGACTCTAAAACTTGCTCTTGGATATAGAGAACCAAAAGTGAGAGGGCAATTCTGCAGCTTAGGACCTCTTTATAAAAAGTGCTGAAGAGTGAGTGTCACTCTGAAGACTAAGATGTGTGATCCAAGCCAGGGTATTTTCATTAACTTTCATGCACGTGGAAGTTGGACAGTGAATTATGAAGGCCAGAGAATTGAAGCATTGGAATTGTGGTGTTAGGAAAGAATGTTGAAAGTACTGTGGACTACCAGAAGAATAAATATATCTGTCTTAAATAAGTACAGTCAGAATGCTCCATTGAAGTGAGGATGGCGAGACTGTCTCATGCACTTAGGATATGTCAGGAAAGAGCAGTCATGTTTGGTAAAGTAGAAGGACAGTGAACACAGGAAGCCCCTCAGTGAGATGGATTGACAGTGTGGCTTCAGCACTGAATTCAGACACAGCCACACTTGTGAGGAATGGTGCAGGACGACAAGTGGTTTGTTTCGTTGTACATGTGAGGGGAACTGACTCCCTGACATCTGACAAGCACAAAGGAAAAGGAAAAAGAAATGATGAAAAGAATTGAACTACAGTTTCAAAGGGTGGGTTGAAAAGATAGAACAAATCATTCAGACATAACGAGGGTCTACTGAGTGGTCAGGTTCTGCCCTTTGACCAGACTTATTTATTTGTATGTAAATAATCAGAGGAGCTAGACTATATGAAGAAGAAAGTAGTATTAGGATTGGGCGAAGGCTCATTAACAGCCTTTGTGTAATATGCAGATGGCACAACCTTGCTTGTTCAAAGTGAAGAAAAGTTTAAGCCAGCGATTCTCAACCTGTGGGTCACACCCATTTGGGGGTTGAACAACCCTTTCACAGGGATTGCCCGCTTCATAACAGAAGCAACGAAAATAATTTTATGGTGGTGGGGTCACCATAACATGAGAAACTGTATTGAAGGGTCATGGCATTAGGAAGGTTGAGAGCCAGTGGTTTAAGCACTTGCTGATAGAGATGACAACTAGCCTGCAATGTGGGTTACACCTCATCATAATGCAAAAAATTTTTAATTGGGTCAATAAGCATCATGATAAATGGAGAAAAGATTGAAATTGTTCAGTTTACTTGGGATCACAATCAACACCTATAGAAGCAGTGTTCAGGAAATCACACAACATATTGTATTGGGCAGATGTCCTGCCAAAGAACTCTTCGAAGTGTTAAAAAGCAAATGTGTCATTTTGAATACTAAGCTGTGCCTGACCGGAGCCAGGGTATTTTTAGTCACCTAATATGCATGTAAAATCTGAACAATGAGTAAAGAAGACTGAAGACGAATTTATGACTTTGATTTATCGTTTTGGTAAACAATATTAAATGTATCGTGCTAAAAGAAGAACAAATGAATGTCTGTTGGAAGAAGTTGGAAGTGATGATGTACTTTGGACTTGTTACTGCAAGGGAACACCATGCTTGGTAAAGTAAGAGGTTGGCAGAAAAAATAGGAAGATCCTCAACAGAATGGATTGATGCAATCACTGCCAGAGTGGACTGTAACAACTTGTGAGGGTGGTGCAGGAGGGCAGATTTTCATTGTTGTACATAGGCTCCCATTGACTTGGAACTAGCTACAATACTAAACAACACATATTTACATAGTTAGATTTAATTTGTGTATTGTGTTTTAGGTGTTTATTTAGTAGTATTTAATATAAATATATCAAATATTACTTTAGGAAGTTCTTACAGTTAGATTATATTTTTAATATCTCCTTTACTGTTTTAGGTGGTTTCCAGTGTTAGCTCCTTTGTATTAAATTTTTTCCCCTGCCGTTGATAATGTGACAATCTGTTGTCTCTACATTATGATAAGACATTTATTTACCATGAATACTATGGCCCTAAATAAATTAAATTTTGTGTTGCAATGTAAGTAACTAGCTGCCTTTGTTATTGATGATGAGATGAGATGATTGTATCGATTTTCACATTTGAGTAAACAGTTTTATCTGTAGGATTTTATCCTGTCCACAAAATCAAGTATTTTTTCCTACAGTATTTGAACCACGTTAAATCTATTTTGACTACAAAATAAATATTTAAGTAAAAGAATAGTCTCTTAAAGTTTAAGAGAATAGGGATGGCTTCAGACTGTTTATTGCTGAATCCTCAAATGGCTAACAGTTTCTGGTGTGTAATAAGTTCCTCTTAATACATTGACTGAATGAATGCATGTTGCTAAAAGAATTAGGATTATTTTTTTCAATTTTCCAAATTCAAAAAAGTGAAAATAATTTTATGGGCTAGGGTTATAATAAAATGTTGACATTTGGGAGTTAATTTTGTTTCATCTTGTTGAATAGTTGTCCCCAGTTTTAACCACTGAAGTCCATAGTGTTCGTGCAGGGCGACATCTTGCTACCAAATTGAATATTCTAGTGCAGCAACATTTTGACTTGGCTTCAACTACTATTACAAATATTCCCATGAAGGTAAGTCATTCTTTTCTCTGCAGATTTGATGTATATGATTTTAAACATTCGTTTAGTGTGCACCATTTATTTTAATTCCAACTTTACTTTTTTCCCGACGTGCCATATTTTCTGTTTTGCTAGCCTACATTCATTGTCTTTGACCAGGTCAGTAAATATTGAAAAGGATCAAGAAAGGATCACAGAACAAAATGCTGTTGTTTTCTTTCTCATTAGAAGTCAATATGAGCATGCCCCCTACCCTCAACACACCAATGTTCTCAGTTTTTTCATTGTCGCTATCTTAAATTTTTTTCTGTGATTCTTTTTCTGACAGTTGTGTTATTAGATTTTACTTCCTTTGTGCACTCTAATGAATCTTATTTCCTCTTTTTTTCTATCCTACGTAGTACAACAGTGTTTTAAATTAATTAATTAATGAAAAATTAATTATGTGTAATTAATACGCTCTGAATAGAGAAAAATAGTTTATAATTTTATTTTAGTTATTTACTGTGTACCTGAAAAATATAAGTTTTAGGATTCAGCTACTAGATATTCTAGAGAGCATTTTGCTGTCTCTTTTATAATGTCATCAGTATCTTGTCTGAGACTAGCAGCCCATAGTGTTAAATCATTTTATATTGAGTGGAGTTGAATGAAATAAATTGATTATGATTATAAATGTAAGGTAGCCACTGTATCTAAAAATTCAAATTGGCTTTCTTATATAGTTCAAGTTCATGCTTTTACTACCACATCATGAAAAATAAATTGCATAGAAATATAATGTTAGAAATTGTAGGCTTACTCAGTAGAATCTTTCAGCTGATTGATGAAGCAATTATCAAGTAAAATAGCAAAATAGGTGTACTTTAATATATTTAATTTGGTATTATTTATAGCAGAAATATTCTGAGAGTACCCTGCATATTAACTTTGATCATATTTGTGTGCTGTTGGTGTGACTGTCCCTTTAATCTTTGTCTTTTTGGGTAAATACATAATTTCGAAATTCCTACTTACTATTTAGTGAGAACAAGTTGCCACACTGACTTGTCTCTATAGTCTGTATTTGCAATTTTATATAAGTGTTTGGCAATTTGCTATAAATATTTAAAGATGCTGTTTCCTTTAAGGTATTATTTCAATTTCAATGAGCTATTTAAATAGCATTTTATATTGAAATTTATATTTTATATTTATGTTTTTAATGCATATAGTATATTAAAATGCTGGAAAACCAATGCTTTTATAATAAAAAATAACCTTTTAAATTTCTGGATTAGTAACCTATGATAATTTTGACATAAATTAAAAGATCATTAATTATTTCATTAGCACTGTATATCCAGTAATTTTTCCTAGAGTTCGCATTGCTGTGAAAAGCTACTGCATCTTTAAATAGGTTAGTTACAAAGTAAACTATCCCATTATCATTGGTTATTATTATTGAATGTATTTTGCCTCACTTAAGCAAAGTGAATGATTAATAACGATTACTTTGAAAGCAAAGCCAAAGTATTTCAACTGCCTTAAAATTTGCTTTAAGGAAGAGCAGCATGCTAACACGTCTGCCAATTATGATGTGGAGCTACTTCATCACAAAGATGCACATGTAGATTTCCTGAAAAGTGGTGAGTAAGAGCCCTCTGAAGCATTGGCGTGTTAGCTCTGACATATGAAATCGTATTAATAGTTCTTCAAAGTTCTTCAGTAAGTGAACTTGCTCTTCTTTATTAATCTAGCCTTTTAAAAACTTAGCTCCCGCTATCACCAACTATTGGCTGTGGAACTAGTGTTCTGCAGAATTTACTTAGAGGAAAAGTAGGTTAATGGAACAGATACTGAGAAAGATAGCTGTTAGGTCATGCTGTAGCTTCTTTTTTGCATGCAAACAACTCTGGGAAGGAAACAGAAGCGAAGCAGGTCCAAATGAGTGTTAGACTCATATGGATAAAAACCAGCTGTCCTGAATTTAAGCTAGTTTTTCCTTCCCAAAATGATATCAGTTAATAGATCTTATCTTTAAAACCCTGCTTTCTGCAACTGTATTGCCTTAGCTAAAGGAAGAGATGCTGGAATTTAAGGTGAAGCTCAGTCACCAGCTAGCAAACACTCATATGTTCCAAACTTCACTTTACCAGTTTACAGATTAAAGGTGTAATCTCGGTATAGCCCGTGCAGAAGACACCCTGCAGAAATGAAGACGGCATCCACGGATGCTGGCTTAGGTGTTGGCTGGTGCGTTGGCCTGGGAAGCCAACAAGTGAGGAAAGAGCGGTTGAAGTAATTGGCCACTGGGGACCCAGCGATGAGGAGCCCTTACTATCTTAGATATTCCATTGAATCCTAAATTACATGAAATTCTCTGATCCAAAGGACATTTTCAAAGCTTTTTAAGGGTAGACATTGAGCTAAGTCTTAGGTTTTCAATGTAAATTAATGCTATGAAAATTCAGTGTAATGCACTGTTCGTAACCTGTTATCAGATTTACTGCTGACGGGTTCCATTCCAGTGCTACAGAAATTCCCAGAATAATATAAGACTAACAAAATGTATCTGTCTGATTTTATATTTGGGAGACAAGGGGTAAAAAAAGAAAAGAAAATTAAATGTTTGACCTTGGTGTTGAATACATGTTATTGATTGACTTGTATGCCTGCAAAGTATGTGTTGTAATTCTTAACTCTGTGCCTGTTGTAAGGAGTACTGGCTGGTGGTATACTGGGTTACACACTGGGTTTCAAACCACACGGTCTGCAGTTTGAACTCATCAGCCACCACAAAGGACAAAAATAAGGCTTTGTGCTCCCGTAAAGATTTAATGCCTGAGAAAACCTTTGGGACAGTTCAGCCTTGTCCATAGGATCACTAGGCGTTATAATTTGACTTGATAGGTAATGAGAACAGGTTATCTTTGTTACGTTACTGAGGTAGGCATATAGAGTGTATTTTGAGTCAATTTGTTATGAAGTATAAAAGCGATCAAAGCAAGCAAGCTACGAAGCAAACAGAGAAACCCCCATAACCCACTGCCAAGTCGAGAGAAATGCCGAATCACATGAACTCTCGTGAGGAGGAACATCAGCTCAGAAGACACAAGGCCCTTCCTCCAGAGCCCACAGAGAAAAGAAACCTCCCCCGACAGCACTGTTGAGCCCACACCTCTTGCCTCCCAAACCCAAAAAAAGTAAATTTCTGCATGCTAAAGACATCTATTTGTGGTGTTTTTGTCACAGTAGTGCTAAATAAGACAATACATCCATTTAATGTACCATACCAGGATTTGATTTTAACATCTTTGACGTGTAAGGGATCATGGAAGTATCCTAATATGAATTACCAAAAGGAGAAAATGATTAAGATAAATGCATATATGTTTATTAATGTTTAGCAAATAAATGTAGAGAACTTGTTTTTAAAGATGCAATAGGGGAAATTGCTAGGAATCCATGAGCTACTAATTAAATTTTTTTTAGGAAAGTTGAAAATATTCTTTGTAACATAAGCTGTTCTTTTAGAATAGCTCTTGATTTGACCTATAATTGTATGTATGGCACATAGACAATAATAGGATCATAGTTCTGTCGACACAGCGCAAGTTACCTGTGATTTTGTCTAAGAATTAGGCAGGCTTTTCTGAGAAGGTGTCATTAGAGCTGGATCTTGAATGAGTAGCTTTACACTTTGATCCTAATCTCTCTCCTAAACTCCAGACAAGTTGCTGCCGATTTACCATCCCTTAGATGTCTCTAACACACCTAAAATTCAACATATCCAAAATAATTTATGAGCTTTGCCTTGGTTTTTTTAATATATCCCATCTATTGTTATTCTAGGCATATAGGGTAGAAACCTCAGAGTTGTCTTTGCGGCATCTCTGTCGTTCTTTAAATTAAATTCAGCATCACATTTTCTTTCATTTTATCTGTTAAATATCTGTCAGATATATCCACACCTGCATTTCTACTACCATTACCATCTCCTTATTCAACCTATTATTTTCTTCCTATGTGCCCCAACGTAGACTCCTAAGTGGTCTGTCTCTTTCTACTAGTTAAATTCATTGATAGAGCACTAACCCGCCACCAAGGAGCCCTAGTGGTGTAGTAGTTTACATGTTGGGCTGATACCACGAGGTCGGCAGTTCAAAACCACTGGCTGCTCCGCAGAACAGTCTCGGAAACTCACAGGGGCAGTTCTCGCCTGTTCTGTACGGCCATTATAAGTCAGAATTGCTTTCTGTGTTGTCCTTAGGAGAAAGACAGACTTTTAGAATGTCTTCCAAGACCCTGGAGAAATGATCCTCCTCGTTCTCATTATTCTCTCACGTGGTTCCCCTCTTCCAGTGTTTCATTCATGTCGATGTGATCCTCTTCACTCTCTTGCCATAGGACCGAAGCACCTGCCGTTGCCTTTGCCTCGGTGCTCCTTTCTCCACTTCTTTAGTCAGTTTCTGCTTCGCTTTTCAGAACTTAGACCACTCTTCCCCTCTGGAGAAAGGCTTCTCGGTGTCTCAGAATAGTTTACCAAATCTCTGCATGGGCTCTTAGAGCGCTGCATACACCTCCCTTACACTTTTAGCCATCTGTCTAGCTTCGCATTGGCTACTATCTGATTAACGTTTGTTTCCCCTGCCTTATTGTAAGTTCCGCTAAGGCACAAAATGCTCATTGTTGTGTCTCTTGGTAGATTGACTTCCTAGATTCCTTGTTTTATATTTCTTCTAAATAAACTCATTAGGATTCATTCCATATAATTAGTTATGCATTTCAGACCCCATAAGCTCTCTCTCACTACTTAACCATGTTATTTTATCCTTTACAAGAATGTGAAGAGAGTAGTTGTAAAGCTTTAAATGTTTTTAACATTTTCCTGTTGATTTTTTTCAGTTCAGTGACTGAAATGATTAAATAATGAGGCAATTAGAGGGAAACCGATATTTATCTTTATCGTAACTAATATCCATACTCTGGCATTTTTCTAGGACTCTTCATAACAAAGGTAGAACTCTCCCAGAATATTGCATAGTCTTCCGGAAAGGTTTGGCAAATAGTTCCAAGTTCTTGTTCTACTTAGTAATATTAATATTTTGCGACCTGTTTTTACAGGTGACACCCACTTAGGCGGGAGCAGTAGAGATGGCCCGTTTAAAGAGACCATAACACTGAAGTGGTGCACACCGAGGACAAACAACATCGGTAAGTATCTCAAAGTCACTGAGGAAAAAAAGAATAAATCAGAAAATTCTTTATTATACAAGTATCAGCTAATTTGTTTCATTTTGAAATTTTTTTATTTTTCATTTTTATAGGGACTTAGAGAACAATTTTTTTTCTTTTAAATTTGGGAATATTTCTTTATATTCTTTCAAATCAGTGTTTTCTTCTGTTTCAGAGTTGCACTATTGTACTGGAGCATATCGAATTTCACCTGTAGATGTAAATAGTAGACCTTCCTCCTGCCTTACTAATTTTCTTCTAAATGGTAACTTTGTCATTTATGACCGAAATGATTGCAAGTGAATTGTTATTTTGAGAATATGTGACTATATGAACTTGAAGTCTGGAAAAATTTTTAATTTAATAAAGCCTTAACAACTCCCCCCAAAAAACTTTTAAAATTATATGATTAGAAGTATTCTTTAAAAAAAAAAAAAAAAAGAAGTATTCTTTAACAGTTAAGATTTAAAAGATTAAAGTTTAAAATTAGGATGACTTTATATCTTTTTTTTTTCTTTATGTCTTTTTTTTTACTGTCTTGTTTCTAAGCACATTTTATTTGGAAATTTTGATCTTAATAATGTAAATTGATTGTTTTTGTAATTTTGGAGGATAAAATAATACAGGCTATCTATCTTGTTCAACTGCATTTTATGAATCAATCCAACAGCAACTGGAAGGAGTTGACTTGTATTACTAAGTATATGTAGATTCATTTCTCTTTGAACACTATGCCTTTATCCTAGTTAAGCATTATATTTTCAATATTTTACCATATTATTCTTTAAGTTTATGGTTTCATGTGTGAAAAGTATATTTTTTAATCAAAATTACTGGATTCTATTTATTGAATCTAAATTCTGTAAGTTCTCCTGTCATGCTTATGATCAGCTAGGTATTGGAACCATTTTAAAGAGTCAGTCTGCCTTTGTGATAGGTTAATTTCATTGTTATGTTAAGTACAGTGTGATTACAAATGTTATGGATTGCAGATTAAACAATGGGCATTTGACATAGAACATCGTGAGAATGACTGTACTAGTGAGGGAGTTTTGTTGATGTAAATAGAGACTGCCTTCGTTCCAAATGTTTTATGGTATTACTCACTTGAGGGTTGTTCTTCAGTAGTCTGATTTTCCTTCAGGAAAATGTCCAGGAGAAACATTTTTATATGAACTTGTAATAGAATAGCAATATCCTCTGAAAGCTTGGAGTGACCCAGAGATAGCAAAGGCTAGAATTCAGATTGCTAGAATTCAGATTTTTAGGATTGAAATGTTAGCTATACTAAACTAGCAGTGCTGATTCAAATATGGGGCTCAAATGAAAATTCTACGTATAAACATTAGGGGAAATGCTAGAGCCCATTTGGATCTCTTTGTTTGACAGAGTAATCTTGTATTTGACAGGTCGTTCTGTTTTATTGGAACAACCACGCAAGTCAGGCTCCAAAGTCATTAGTCATATGCTTAGCAGCCATGGAGGAGAGATTTTTCTACACGTCCTTAGCAGTTCTCGTTCTATTCTAGAAGATCCTCCTTCAATTAGTGAAGGATGTGGAGGAAGAGTTACAGACTACCGGATTACAGTAAGGCTCTAATATCATTAAATTTTGTCTTCAGTCAGTGGTCTTTCAGCAGAGTCCTTACTCAGTGTCTCTTAGGTTCTAGGATCTGTGACACAAGGAGGTGTGATAGAACTTGATTATTACTTTGCTTAGGAGAATTTCCTGCAGTATTTGTGTGAAACCACTGCAGTTTTCGCTTTGTATTAAGTGTATTGGGAGGGATATGTGATGACACTGACACACTGAAAATACAGGAAGGAAAGAAAAACTGAGAATCCAGAAGGGAAAGGAAATCGATAAGCCTTATTTTATGGGAAACTCAATTTCAAGTATCTCATAATATGTACCGTATATACACGAATATAAGCCGACCCGAATATCAGCCAAGACACCTAATTTTACCACAAAAACTGCATTAAAAATGTGCTGAAAACCTCGGCTTATACACAAGTATATATGGTACAACATTTGAATATTTATATTGCTGCTGCTTTAAAATAACATTAACTTTTGTATTGAGAGAGAAATGGACTAACATTAAAGGAAATTGTGTTTCTTTTGGGGGAGAAATTTAGTATACAGTGTTAAACATGCTGTATTTGCTTTTGATTAGGCTCTGTTTTTCTTTTAATAGACTTTAAAAAATAACAAAAATGCTAATTAATATTCATTGTACTATAAAATTGCCTATAATGCTATCCTTCAAAGATAAACATTGTTAACATTTTAATATTGTATTACAGTTGTTTTAAAGTAAGCAACTTGATCTTTTAATATGATTAACTTACTCTTGTACATGATAGGAAAGATATAAATTATAGAAATGAAGAAAAATGAGTGTTCCTTGGGTTTTTAAAAATAGGAAATACCAGGAATGCATTTCTTTTTTTTTTTTTAGGAATGTATTTCTATTTGAGGTATGTATTTCTATTTCATCTCCAGTGTTTAAAGCTTGATGGGTTTTATGTTCAAAAGGAAAAAGTAGTGGTAGAGAGGAGAGCTGTTACAGTAAATGCTTTGAAGCCAGAGGCCAGAAGCCCTGAGAATGATAGGCTTTTTTACATGTAATCCGTAGTGAAACATAGAAAATGGTTTCTAATTTTTTCTTATTTGGTTATCATTAGGATTTTGGTGAATTTATGAGGGAAAACAGATTAACTCCTTTTCTAGACCCCAGATATAAAATTGATGGAAGTCTTGAGATCCCTTTAGAACGAGCAAAAGATCAGTTAGAAAAACACACCCGCTATTGGCCTATGATTATCTCACAAACCACCATTTTCAACATGCAAGCGGTAAGTGGTTAATTGTTTCAACTTTTCTGCTAAGGTTAGCTATAAATACTTTAGAGCAACAAAGTAGAAAATTTAAATTATATGCTTCTCCAAGCAGAGTGAAATACACATTTATGAAAGGGAGAGAATTAATAATTGAATATTGAAGTTGTAGTTATAGATTCTCTTGCCATGGTTTCTTTAAAAGCAGTTGAAATTTTGCTACGATGATGTGACACCTTGTGTTTGGTATCCTGTCTTTTTCAAGACAGATTTTTCTTTTTCTTTCTAAAAAATCTAACAGGTGGTTCCGTTAGCCAGTGTTATTGTGAAAGAATCTTTGACAGAAGAAGATGTGCTAAACTGTCAGAAAACAATATACAACTTAGTTGATATGGAAAGGAAAAATGATCCTTTGCCTATTTCCACAGTTGGTACACGAGGAAAAGGCCCTAAAAGGTAGTTTTTTCACTTTCTCGACACAAGTGTACTTGTTAGGTGTTGATTTTAAAGTAGCTTAGGCCATTTGTGAATTCTGTGTGTGGCGTGTATGCATACGGATGGTTGCGATGCTATAATATGGATTAGCTGGAAGCACTGTGGGCTAGGTCTTGACTGCTAACTCTAAGGCCAAAGGTACACATGTACCAGACAGTCAGTAGGAGAAAGGTGAGACTACCTGCTCCCTTAAAGACGGACCATTTTGGAAAGCCTGCATAGGATTGCTGTGAGTCTGAATCAGCGAAGTGGCCTTAGGTTAGTAGAATTAGTTGCATTTTAGTTTAGAATGCCACCATTAACTACTCGGTATTCTGTGTGGAGTATAGTTCTACCCTGAAATACATGGGGTTGTCATGCATTTGAATAGTCTTGATGGAAATGGGTTAAGCAGAAAAATCTCTGTATTTCCTTGTACTGTACCTGTAGCAAATGGAACTTCAATATTGAAGTGTTTCTAACTTACCTAAAATACCTAACTTACCTGAAATACCTAAATTTTCTTTACTATAGAGATGAACAATACCGTATCATGTGGAATGAGTTAGAAACTCTGGTCAGAGCCCATATTAATAACTCAGAGAAACATCAAAGAGTCTTGGAATGTCTGATGGCATGTAGGAGCAAACCCCCAGAAGAGGAGGAACGAAAGAAACGAGGAAGAAAGAGGGAAGACAAAGAGGACAAGTCGGAAAAAGCAGTGAAAGATTACGAACAGGACAAATCCTGGCAAGATTCAGAGAGGTGAGTTATTGACAATAATACAGTACTGTGGTGCCTTTTAACATATTCTGTGTAACGCCTGTTTGAACCTTCAAGCCTCTTTTAATACACTTCCCTTATCAGGATAGGGGGATCCCTAAGGCCAGGTAATTATGCAAAAATTGACATTGTACAAAATGGAAGATAACTACATCATCACATACTTCAAATTATATCATTTGGGAAGCTTCAAAAAGTTCATGGAAAATTGGAATTAAAAGATGAATATTTTGAAGCTACTTCATATAACTGCCAAATTTCATAACTGCCTAGCTGCCAAGCCACTGAGAATCATGGCCCAACAAAGTTGACACATTACCTTAACAATCATAGCTAGCATTACTGTCACTTTACACCTCGACTTCCATTACTGTCAGATGTACATCATCAGTTTACAAAATAGTCAGATTTTGTAGTATGATTGTAAATGGGAAATGTCAGATACTGAGCTAGTTTATGAGGAGTCAGTGTAATTTATATAATACACACTTATTTCATTTTATAACATTTTATCACTTAAAATGTAGAAAATGTTTATTGGGCTTAAAGAAGTATATTGCTTTTTAAAAATACATATTAGAGACAAAGAGATTTGTTAATTTTTCCTATATAACTTCTGAAAAGAACATGATTTCTATCAGCATTTGCTTTATATTTTTTGAACTTCAAAGGAGATGCAGCTTTATTTGTTCAGTAAATATTTAATAAATATGTCAGACAGTTGGCATCAGCCCTGCCTTGGAAGAACATGCACTGTTGAGGTAGAAAGAGGGGGCTAAGTCAGTAAGTAGACCAAAATATGGACGGTACTATTACACAAGTAGGCCTAGGATACCATTGAGAGCAGAGAAGTAGCACCCAGCCCTAATCCTGAAACATTCCTTGGCAGCACTTCTCTGTCCTTAGTGAGTTATAGAGTGACATCAGGCTAAATTTGGGAAAATGTAACAAAAACGAATAAGGTTCATTAAATACATCCACACATGTTCTACCTCTTTGCTAGAATTCAAGCAGAGAACCAAATAATTATCATGCAATTTATTGAGTCCCTTGAAAACAAAACAACTTTTTATTATAGAAAATTTAAACATGTACCAAAGTATAAAAAATACCCACATCCACTTGAACAGTTTTTGGTTCATGAATGATCTCATTTCATATATCTCCATATCTGCTTCCCTTACCACCACCATCCCATTTCCTCATAGGAGTATTTTGAAGCCAATTCTGAAAATTTTGTGTTTTCTCCACAAATAAGTTGAACCCTTCATTGTGTTTGACTTTAGAAATTTACATCCTAAGGGCTATAGAATTGGCTCATATTATGAAAGGGGGTGAGGGTGTGTGTGAAGTATTATCATTTAGATTCCACTGATCTTATCGTACTTTGAAAGTACTTCTGTTACCTGGGAAACTCAAAGCTTGGAGTTAATTGTTAACTTGAGACTGAAAGTACATTTTCACAGTACCCAGATTTAGAGAATGAATACTAGGTAAATTTCTTTATAGCTTGAAATAGAATTTTGTCTACATTTAGAAATTAAAATCATGAAGTTTTTTACCCTAAGATTATATATTTTGATCTTTTAAATCTTCTTAAGTTTTTCTCTGTGTTTTAGAATATTTGCAACTACATTCCCAAAGTACTACATAATTATTATGAGGGAAAGGGGGATTTATGTTTAACTCTTTATGGTTTTTGACCCCATTTTAGGTTGAGGTTTAGCTTGTAATTAGTCCCTAGGCTTAACCATGAGGTTTACTTTGTGAGAGCAACTATCTTTTATAATAATTGATATGCAAAGGCTTATTATTGAATCATTTAGACTACTAAAATGTTAAATTTAAAATTTTACTATTTGTCTATAAGATTAAAAGGAATTTTAGAACGAGGAAAAGAAGAGTTGGCTGAAGCTGAGATTATAAAGGATTCACCTGATTCCCCAGAACCTCCAAACAAAAAGCCTCTTGTTGAAGTTGACGAAACTCCACCGGTGGAAACATCCAAAGGTGGGTAGTATTGTAGTAACTCTGTTTGTAAAGAGTTTTCTAGCTCAGCTGTTTCAGACAGTGTTGATAGTTACTGCTCTACGTATAAAAAAGAGATACTAACTCTTCTTGGATGCTGTTTATGAGAATCTCAGTTTATGGCCTTGGGAAATAAAGGCAGGAAATATATTTGTCAGTGTTAAAGAAAAAGTAATGTCAGATTTCACTAATGAAGCCTTCAGTAAATAAGCAGTTTTACCATAAAGTCACATTTCTAAAAAATTATGTGAACTTGAATCTGTTTATTTTCCAACACTATATAAAATTTTGGGTTGTTTAAGACAAAATCTTTTCCCTAAGTTTTTAATATCACTCATTTCATGATAAAATATAGAGGAACTGTATATACTTATGTATAAGCTGAGTTTTTCAGCACATTTAAAAAAAAATAATCATTTTATTAGGGACTCATACAACTCATCACAATCTTTGCATACATCATCTGTGTCCAGCACTTTAGTACATATGTTGACTTCATCAATGCAATTTTGTGGTAAAATTAGGTGCCTTGGCTGATATTCAGGTTGGCTTATACTCAAATATATATGGTAAGTCAAAAAGTATTTCCACCAGAGTTCCAGGTCCTACATGCAAAATATGTTTAAACATGTCTGATCCTGGAGTGGCTTCAGACAAGTTCTTTTGGTAATATACTTGTCTGAGTCGCCTTAGGGTGCCTTCAAAAAACGGATACTTTTTTGTGCCATGGGGAAAATTTTTTTTTTAGGTCAGGGCTAATACAACGTTTTTAGCAGAACTCAAGTAGATGTTTTACTCAGTCATTGACGTTTTGCAACAAGTTTATAGGAATCCTGCCTCCTTAAAACAACATTTTTTAGATGAATGAAATGTTTTAAAGACGGTTGAGAAGCCCTTACAGATGAGCCCAGAAAGAAAACTCAACCTGGATGAGTAAGAAACCTGTGGCAGAAGTAGAAAAACTGGTGGAAGAAGACCACAGATAGAATCACCACCAGTGGTACTAAAATGCCACTAAATGCTACTAACATTGGGATCTCACACAGTGTGGCCTTTTTTACTTTAAGCAAATGCCTTCGCCTCAGCAAGCTTTCAACTGCATAGCTGCCAAACTTGTTGCATAGAGATCAGCTCGCTCGAAAAGCTGATATTCTGTCCATGTTTTCAAAGCAAGATTGACACTAATGAAGGTGATCCTAACTAGGAATCTTGGGTTTACCAGTACAATCCAGAGAACAAGGTCCAGTCCAAACAGTGGCTATCAAGGGGATCTGCTGCAACAGTTAATTTCAAAGCAGAGAGAGGTCAGCTCAAAAGGTTCTGGAATCTTTAAGGACACAGGATAGCATATTGTGAAGTTTTAAAGAGAATGGAAAACTGTAATGGTGAGGGGAAATGGCCAGAAAAATTGAATGAAAGAATTTTTTTTTCATCACGCCAATGAACTTGTTCATTCTTTGAGGTTAGCAAGGGCTGTCATTTGCGAATTTCATTTAGAAATCTTAACTCATTCACCCTACAGCCCAGATCTTGCCCCTTCTAATTTCTTTTAGTTTCCCAAACTCAAAGAAAGGAACATGACTTGAGTCCCTTAAGGATGCCAGAACTGCCCTTTTAAACATGGTATTATTTGAAGAGTACAGTGTTCTTTGCCAGGAAGGGTTAGAGATAGAGAAACACTGCTGTCAGAAGTGTACAGACCTAGATGGAGGGTGTGTCCAGAAACAATAGCTTCACATTTTTATATCTTTTTGAATAAAGGTATCTATGATTTTGTAGCAATGCTTTTGACTTAACCCATATATATTGAGAATAAATTTCAATGAGGGTATGATTTTACACAATATTTTCTTTGGAAAGCCTAATTTTTCTGTTACTAACAGCTGAAAGGTTCCATTTGACTTTGAAGGAATTATAGTAATTCTAGACAAAATGTGATTTGGGGAATGGAAATTATTCCAGGCTTTACTTAATCTTAAAGGTGAAATAGATTGTTTTCAGGATAAAATTGAAATGGCATGACAACGGACTATTTAATTCTTGACTCTAAGAGAGATAACGTGCCTCCTTAAAGCCATAAAATGTCAGGGTTGGTCAGATTAGTTGCTGACGGTTCATCATAAGGATAAAGTTGCTTTTTATATGATTTTCTTATTGTACATAGACGTCCCTGGGTGACACACATGGTTTAAGTGTTTGAATACTAATGAATTTTTATTCACATCTACCTAGAAGAGGGGACTCAAAAAAATAACTTGGTGACCTGCTCCAGTCTCAGCCCTTCCTTGTAAACCCTGTGGGGCAAGTTCGACTGTCACGCACATGGGTCATCAGGAGTCAGAATGACTCAAGAGCAGTTGGTGTGGTTTTGGGGAACCAAAAGAAGATCAGATGTTTCTGAGAACATTTTTAAGAATAGAAAATACACAGGATTAGGAATCAGAATTTGTGCAGACTTTTGAAAAGTACTGCTGGAAGCTGTAATACAATGAAAAATGTGGAGAAATATTTTTTTGGTCATAGAATTCTATACTTAGGTGAATTATCAATTGGGAGTCAAAAGTAGAAAAAAGGCCTTTCTAGACATGGCAGGTCTTCACTTCAATATCTTCTCTCAGGAAATTTGTCACATTAAAAGTTGTATATTTTAAAGTAATAAATTATTCTATTCTTCTACTAAGGAGTTTTAAGAAATTTTCTTCCTAGAGTAGAATAAACAGAAGACGATTTTACTTGAATTATATAAAATAAGCAATATGAATTTGTTATATTTGAAATTTTTGAAGTAATAAATTATTCTGATTTTTCCCCCCCTCATGTTGTTAAAAAATAAGGACCAGTATCCTTGTTATCCTTGTGGAGTAATCGGATTAATACTGCCAATTCCAGAAAACATCAGGAATTTGCTGGGCGTTTGAACTCTGTTAGTAACAGAGCTGAATTATATCAACATCTTAAAGAGGAAAATGGGTGTGTATTCATTATAGAAATTGGTTTTATTAATTGCCTGTGTAGTTCCATAATCCTGAAAAATTTGAATAGTTTGAATTTTTAATTACTAATACAGTAATAGACTATTTTGAAAATTATAGTAAGAGCTTTTTAAATTTTAAATAATTTTTACTTTGTTGTGCTGAACTGACATTTTATTTTTAAGGGTAAAAAAAATTCATTTCTTTGATTCTTGGTACTTGTAGAAGGCATAATCAGATTGATTATAAACCTGGAAGTGTGTCTCTGGGTTCACATTAGAACATAGCCCTTGTAGTTAGGAATCAACCCCTGTAAAACCTATTCTATTAAAATTTTCGGGTTCATAGTAAATGAGTGCTCTTTTGTGATACTTATCGAAGTATTATTAAGTATCTGGAAGTGTTTCTATAATTTTTTATGCATAGAAAGGTACACTGTATGAAGGCAAGTTAAAATGTATTACCACTAGGATTGCGTTCTCTCTCTCTCTCTCTCTCTC